AGGGTCTCCCTCTGAGATCGGCACTTAGCAAGCTCAGCGACCTAATGTTCTCGAGTATCGGCGGTCTCGGCTGCCTCTCTTGCTTGGACTTGGGCAGTTTTAGCATCGACCCGATAGACGGCAATGAGCGCATCCGCATCAGCCTTTGCTTTTTTGGCATTAGATTCGGCCTTGGCAAGTTCAGAGGCCAATCGAGCCTCGAGCTCCTCTATTCTTCTTGCTTGAACCAAGCTTTTCTCCTTCATACTGTGAAGTTGGTTTTCGGACGATGATAATTGGGCTCGAGCTGCTTCTTTCTCTGCAGCAAAGCGATCCATACCTTCTTTCCACTTCAAAGACTACGCTTTTATCTCATCGACCTCCTCACGGAGTTTCCCGATCATCTAGATTTTTTGCTGCAGCTGTGAGATCGAAATATTAGTCATTGTTCCGGTATCGAGCCCATAGGCTTTTAAAAGTATCATTACCTGCTCGGATAGATCGGTCTGATCTTGGTAAGCCTTGGCCAACTCAGTTCGGAGGTCTTTTATTTCCTCTCCCATTTGCACTAAGAGGAGCTTAAGGGAGTTCCTCTCCTCTGTAACCCGTTGAAGGTCGGCCTTATGTCGACGCAGCTCTGTTCGGGACCGAGAACATGATTCTCGATGAACTGCCGCAGCCTGCAAAGAAAGAAGAAACGAAGTTAAAAAAGAAAAGCAAACTTAAAGGTAACGCCATATAATTTAAGGCTTACCTGATTCAAAGCTTGCTGCACTCTGTGAAAAAGATCCGATGAGTCACTTGTACTGGTAGCGTCCTCGACACCGATAAACAGGTCACGAAAAGGATCCTCTCCATCATGAGGCATGTCTAATTCGAGGACCCCCAAAGCTTGGGCTTCCCGAATCGCCCCTGCGAAAAAAGTAGGGAAGGTGGGCGAGTCTTCGATTGCTACTGCCCCAAATAAATCACCTGGGGCATTCTCTTCGATTCGAAGAGATTCGGGAAGAGCCCCTTCAGACATATCCCCCATATGTTGGCTTCGATGGGAAGCATCTTCGATCTCCAACAACTCGGGGACTCTACCCGAATCTTTCTCCGATATATCCTCAGTTCGAGGCGGAGCCTTATAAACCACCATCGATCCAGCTGCCTGTGGAACGTCGGTGGTCTTCTTCGTTCGGGCCACCAGTGCTGACAAGTCGTTCTCTTCTTCTTCATCCCTCAGATGCAGAACTGATTCTATGGTCAAAGAAATGATATTTTTGTTCGGCTTACGAGCCGTCCTCTTCTTTGGTTTTTGATCTTCGAGGACGGGGGCTCTTTTCTTCTTATTATCTTTCACCGGCTTTGGGACAGAGGCCGAAGCCTCTTTCTCGACGGACAAGGGCCTCAAAACCGCGTCTTTGCCCACACCTACATACGGAAAATTTTATTAAAGTGTGTGAAAAGTATCTTGTTCGAACTACCAAAAGATACGAGAAAGGTGCTTACCATGATTTTTGGCCTCCCATCGGCTCTTTGACAAATTACGCCATGAGCGATCGGCTTATGAGGAGGTCGAAACCAGATCACGTACCCAGTTCTTGAGATCGGGCACTGCGCCAGGCATCCAGGGAACCGCTGCATCACAAAGGGGGAATATTGGTGAGAAAGGAAATGAAAGGACAAAATAGTAGAAGATAACAGCAGAATTACACTTACGCTTCATGTTCCACTCCTCGGGAAAAGGCATATTTTCGGTCGGAATCAGGTCCGAAGTCCTTACTCGAAGAAACCTGCCCATCCAGCCTCGATCCTTATCCTCGTCTATACTCGAGAATAGAGCCTTGGTAGCTCGACGTTGGAGTTTTATTAACCCTTCTCGAAAAAGGCGAGGACGGTATAATCGGACAAGATGATCGAGGGTGAAAGGCATCCCCTCGATTTTATTCACAAAATATCGGATCAAAATAATGATCCGCCAAAAGAAAGGATGTATCTGGCCTAGGGTTATTAGGTATTTATGACAAAAATCTATGATAGCAGGGTCGAGGGGACCTAACGTGGAAGGGTAAGTATACACGCTTAAAAACCCTCTCACATGAGTAGTAATATCCTCTTCGGGAGACGGCACTACCACTTCTTTGTTCTCCCAGTTACAATCTTTTTTTATCCGTTCGATATGCTCCCGAGTTATCGAACAAATATATCTCGATACAGGGCTCACATCGGCCAGGAACCGGCGAACCTTTATCGAGTTTGAAATCGGAGGTAAGAACACACGCCGACGGAACACACCCCTCAGGCCGTGGATCTACCGGTGTTTTATCGGCATCAGATTGGGAAGAATAAGCTTTTTCTTTTGGGGGAACGCTTTTTGATGTCTTCACCATTTTGGATTTAAAGAAGGTGATAAAGATTTGGTGGTTTAGAAGAAGAATTTTGCAAAGAGGAATCACAGATTTGCGAATAAACTCAGAGAATACAAAAAAGAACTTGAGAAATTTGGAAGATTGAAGATGTAAAAGTGGTAAATGATAAAAGGAAGGGCTATTTATAGATTAAAGCAATGGCGATTCAGTATCAGCAGTGGCCGACTACCGTCTGACATGCATTAAATGCCTTGAAAGACTAAATTGATGGGACAGCTATCACGTGCGTCATGATCGAGCCCAATGTAAACGTCAACTTATAATCCGATCGAGCCGTTGAAAAATCATATCGTTTCTCACCACATCCTTTCCGAGAAATGAGGGGACTATCTGTATACGGTCGAAATAGATTTCGGTATTCGTACGATTGATCGAGGTCGAAACATAATGGATCGAAGTAAAACTTTGAGATGGGTTTCGAAGATGGTACAAACAAGCTACGGATTCCAGGTATAGGTCAAACACCGAGTTCGAAATCATCATCGAGCTCGGGTCCGAATCGAACTGAGATGAAATGATTTCGAACTTAAGGGGCAGAGGCCAACCGGGACCGAGTCCGAATCATTACCTGATCCCGAATCCATATCGAGCTCTAAAAGCACTACCGACCAACACCGAGGCCGATCGAGTTCGAGCTCACAGACAAGAACTGTTGCAAACACACTAAGGGAGAGAATCTCGGCGGAAATTAGGAAAAAACTGATTTATCATTGATTTTTCACTATGTATTTTTAATTATATCTAAAGTAGGATCCTCCACTATAAAGAGGATGGCTACATTTCTGTAGAGGGCAGTTTTTTTGGCTTACATTGTAATTTAAGCACCATATTCTCCTATATTGAAGAGTTATTCTTTTAAACTTGATAAATTGATTCAACTTGCTTAGTCCTAAAAATCATCTTCTTTACAACCTTGTTTACTTTGCATTCTTTGCAATCCGTATTTGATATTTCTATTTATCCTTACGATTTGTATTAAAGTTATACCACATATCCTTAGAACTACATACAAATTCAACTCTATTCATTTTTCGGGTAAACAACGCTCCAGTAGCTTCGGATAAAGCGAAATATTGTGACTGATTTTGTTTATTTATATTATTTTTAGTATAATTTGTGGATCTACATAAAGCACAAACGTAACTCTTGTGTTCTGTTCCCAGAGGCCAGGGAGATCTTCCACTCTCTTTTTTCCTTTTTGTTTCAATGATTTCTTGCTTGTTCTTGAAATTGTTCATTTTCTATTTTGTCTTTTCGTTTGGACAATTTTATGGGGAAAAAAATCTGATATCTTTTTGTTTAAGCAAGAATGAACTTATAATTACTTGGAGAGTCAAATAAGATTTTCTTTGACTTTATTTTTTGGGAATAATTTTAAATATTTTGAATTGTTAATCATTGTGACTTATTTTTTATGTAGTTTCTAATTATGTAAATCTTATTCTCAAATAATTAAAGAATTTATACGTCTAATTCACATCAAAAATTAGTTAATTTAACCATCGTACTCCGAAAATGTTCATACAATATTTTGACCCTATGTCTCAAAAATTAGTTTAACTGATTAGCTTTCTTTCCTAGTACAATGTTTTTAATAAGCTTACTCTTTTCTTTTTAATTGAACCGCTACTTTAACTCTAAATTATTATTTTCTAATATGTTGCCTATTTATTTAACTATCCTTTGTTTCCTAATCCTAACATATCTTTCCCTTCCTACTTAGGACACCACTAACAGATTACCTCTTATAATTGGAAAATGGTTCTCCAATTACATACTTAGCCATTCTCTTGTGCGCAATTTGCGAAAGAGAGTACGTACACGGTGAGAATGCCAAAAGAAATCCATAGTGCAAGAACAGGGGAAATTTCAAGAACCAAGAAAGTGGGCATCAGCAGTAATAGCAGTAAAGTATTTGGAGTTGTGATCAGTACTAATTCTGAGAATAATGATGATACTGAGAGTTCACGATCAAGAACTGGAAGAAGAAATAACAACAACAACAACAATAATAATAATAATAATAATAATAATAATAATAATAATAATAAGGGAACAAGACAGAGTGAGGTCACAGAGGGCATTCTTGATTGGATTGGAGAAACTTGGGAAAGGAAATTGGGCTGGAATTGCATAATTTGAGTTGTTATCTTCGTGTATGGAGCCTGTATGGAGCCTGTATAATATAGTAATGTGGTCTTCTTTTTTCCTTTCTTTCGGGAATAATATATCTTGGTTTTCTGGGTATAGCATTCTAATTCTAATGCACACAACCGTTCGAGCTAATATTGGAAACTTTTTTTATTTGATCTCATTAAAAATAAGGGAGTCTTCGAGCAACTGTTATTATAGGGATGGCAATTGGGGCAAGGCGGAGTAGGGCGGGGCAGGAATAACCTTAAATGAGGCGGGGCAGGGGAAGATTTTAATGAGGCAGGGCGGGGCAGGGCAGGGCAAATTGTTATTTTTGAAAATTTTTAATAGGACAGGGTAGGGTAGGGTACATATGGGTTAATAATTGGGTCGGGTAAAATAAGTTAGACCCGCTTACTTTTGTTATATTCCCCCAAATCTTAAATCCCCAAACACTCAAATCCAATTCCCAAACTCAGAATTCAGAAACTCTCCTGCCATTCTTCTTCCTCTTTGAACTCTTGTGATTCTTCTTCCTCTTTGAACTCCTGCGATTCTTCTTCCTCATACCTCAAACATTCTTCGATTCTTCTTCCTCCGAGCTCGGGACAAAGTTTTTTCCAGCAAATCCAGGTAATGCTCTCGATTTCTGTTTCTCTCAACTTCTTACTCACAACTTCTGATGAATATGAAATACAAGATTGAAGGTGTATTATCAATTGAAATATTAGTTAACCTCACAAATATTTAACTTTTATATACTTTCTCCTGCTGATTTGGGATCGTTTTATTTTGTGTTTTGCTTGGTAGTTAGCAGAGACCTTTTTCCTTGTTATGTATTCATACTTTTGTGAATTAAAAATAATTTTTAACTTTTTAATTAATCATAGCATCCCCCCCCCCCATTCCC